TATATATATATATATAATGGTTTTGCTTCTTTTGTGTAGCTGTGTGAGTGATTGCATTGCATGAATTATTGTTTGTCCACAAAAGAGAAATATGTTCGAATTTGAGATAGAAGAGAGTCCTGTTTGTAGCGGGGAAGCATAAGGATGGTTAGGACTAGGAAGGAGAGGAGATACATAATATAGTAAAAGAAAAAGAATGTACTCAGCAAAGTTGGTCTGATTAATAAAGAATAGGCTCGTATTATTATTATTTTTCTAATAACATATTCATATTTTAAAAGGGACGTAAGTTTTTTTTTTTTTTTTCGGATATGAAGAGTTGGTTGGTAGATAATTTATAAATATTTATGTAAGTAAAAAAAAAAAAAAAGGATGGATGGGAAGCTGCGTGAGAAAGTTATGGGTGCATTGGTTCGTCGCAGAAAAATTCAAGAGCAGAGGATCTGACATGACATAAGATGACTAATGTTCAATGGGTGTGGTGTGGGTTCTGAAGAGAACCTGCGTCTGGGTATTTTGTCCATTATTACCTTGTCAGACGCATCATCTCTGATATGAGAGAGAAACTGAGAGAATTTGAATATGTTTTTAATCTTTAAATTTATAAAATAATTTTATTTTTAATTTTTTATTTTATAATTTTAAAGAATTTTGTACTAATTTTTATAGTTAAGAAATTTATTAAATATTATTATATAAAATTTATTTATTGATTTCTCTATTAATAAAAATATGATATTAAATTTAATTGATAGTGTATAATTATTTTATGACTTTAAGATATAATAAAATTTTTAAAACATTAAAAACTAAAAATAATAATTTTAAATTTAAAAGATAAAAATAAATTTAATTTATTCTAAACTTTAAAAACTAATAACATATTGATTATAAACACAAAGTGCATGAATTCCATTTCTTACTCCATATCATAGCCAGTGTTCACTTCAATTCAATGTGCTACATAAATTCAGTAGTTCGGGATTTTATTTGAATTCCAGAGGTTCATACCCAACGATCGACACTAAAGTACGTATACCATGTGAGGTAACAGGCTTTTTGACCAGTTTGAGATAAATTTGGAAATTATTTAAAAAATGTAAAGAAAAATTATTATTAGTTTGAGTTTTTTTTTTACGTGATATTTTATATTGGTTTATTATTATTATTTGCCATGTGTATTTTGCTAATTGCGAAGATGAAATACACCAAATAAAATACAAAAATTCATCGCAAAACACATGCGACATGCATCTCCTATATATATATTACAAGCAAATTATATTGCGGGTAAGTATATGAACTAACATGTTAGTATTTTATTTAGAGAAAAAAAATTTAATCCCTTAAATTTCATCTCTTTTATATATAAATATTACAAACTTTAAATTTTATCTTTATCAGTAAATAAATACCATAAATTTTAATTTTATTATAATTTATCTTTAAATTTTACTATTTTTACAAATAAATATTTTGATTTTAATTTTATCTTAATTATTTTTTTAAGTCTCATACATTATATTGAGATTAAATTAATAAAATAAAAAATATCAGTTATTTATTTATTTTAAATCACACTTATTTATTAATTTTGTGGTACATATATGTTATATATATATATATATATATTAAAATACTATATAATTTAGATGAAGTAAAAATCAAATAAAGACTTATTATTATTATTATTATTAATTATAAATTTTTATTTTCATTATACTTTAGAAAAAAGTAGTTATAAGATAAAAAAAAATCAGTGAATGGTTGATTTTAAAATAAATAATTTAATTATAAATTGATAATATAAAATTTTTGTAAAAATAATAAATTATTAAATATCAAAATCAATTAGAATAAAATTAAAATTGAGAATGTTTTATTTATAAAAGAAGTAAAATTTAAAAAATAATTAAAATAAAATTATAATTTATAATATTTATTCACAAATCAAATAAAATTTAAGTATTAATTAAGATAAAATAAAAATTTATGATATTTTTTATATAAAAAAATTTAAGATGATTAATTATTCTTTTCCATTTTATTTAACACGTATACTTACTTGTTCCAGTCTATTTAACACGCGAACGAGTTAGGGTTCTCTTCAATTTTCAGAATTGGGTTGTATACAAATGATTTTGCAAAATAAGGCAAGGACCAGGTTTTTGTTGTTTTTTTTTTTGTTTTAACCGATGTATAATCGAGAGTGAGGGACTAATACTCAAATTTAATATTTATTTAAAGATCTTAATATATGTTTCCCTGGCAATAAATATGTTAATTAGTTGAATATCCTATCACATGCTTTAAATGTATTATTATCTACTAATCATACTATATCATGTTGGTGCAAGGAATGTTTTGATAAATAATTTTAATTAATTTTTCATTCTCCATATTCGGTGTACTTTTGAATAAATATGTTAAGGCTTACATGTATATTTTATTTTAGACATATTTATTTTACTAGTTATTACAATTGTACTATTTTATCCTTCGCTGATTGATGTGACATAGTACAATGACAAATTGATAACATTGAGGTGTTGTCCCATAAGCATACTAACATAATTGAAATACACTTTTAGTTCATATACGATTTCGGTCTTTCATTTCAATTTGAATATTATTAGCATATATTAAATAACTTATTAGTAGCAATATATATTATTAACGTTATTTTTAATACTATTAATACCCGATAAATATGCACTACTTTATATTTATTGATATTAGTTTTAATATTTACCCCTGTAGTAGTAGCGATTATACGTGCAAAAGGTAAGATATTTTTTTTTCATATTAATTTTTTTATCTTTATAAATATTTTTTTATATCATGTTATTAGTACAAAACATATATTTATGACTAATTTTCATTGGAAAACATGACTGACTATCTTTAATGTAGTTTTTTTTTCCTTTAATTGTATTATTTCATTTATAAGACTTAAATTTCAAATTTTGTTTAAGAGGTTCAAACTTAATACCATTTAAATAAACTATTTATTGGTCTTTTATAGATATTTTTGTAAATTATTTGTAATAATTTTAATTGTCAAGTGCACGAAAATTTAATTTTGATTTTTTTTATTACAAAATATACTAGAAAAATTATTCTTCATACGACATAACATTCATATAAAAGTATAAAAAAATACTTTATCATATAGTTTATAGAAAAAAGTGCAAATACGAAATAAACATGTTTATATTTCAATGATTCATTTTTATTTTTATTTTCATGTTTCAAGGAAGAGTAATTTTAAAAAATATTTGTATTTTTAATAAAATTGGTAAAATTCAATGATGTTAATTGATACTCTTATTTAGTGTGAATTATTTCTTTTTTACTTATATTTAAAATCGGAGTCGAGTAGCTTTGAAAAATGTGGCATAGTGGATAAACATCAATGTTTCTTGCTTTTCTCAAGAATCTATTAAGAGAAACAATGGAGCAACATATACACAAAGATAGATTTGGTGTTACTATTAAGAGAGCCATCCATATTTTTTTTTTTTGAAAAGTAAGACAGCCTTAATTTTATGTATTTGGGGTATGATCATAGATATTTAGACCGCAACATTAATTTTTCTTTTCACAAAGAACGTTGTTAAGGGCCAATCGACCTTCTCAAATCTTGAAGCGACTCTCGATTCAAAGATCCCAAAGTACCATAGAACACGTCCCATTAAATTAATGTTTAATTTATATAGGTGCATGTCGCCAAGAAGAAAGAGAAAATATAAAAGTTTGTGCACTTTAAATGCTTTCCCTTCTATACACAACCCTACAAGGAAACGATTTTCAAATTCGGTTCTCTTAAGAAATTTGACCTTTCTTCTTTCTCCCTTCACACACATATATATAGTAACTCTTATGGTATAATCCATATCCTTCTCCCACTAGCTAGCCTCACTTTTACTTCATGCATGGGCTACTTTGTGTTCACATATTAACTTGAAGACTTAGTGATTTCTTTCACCATAAGAGTCATATCGATCATAGCTATCATCATCATCATCATCAATGAACTGGTTGGATTTCTTCCTCTACCCTCAAGAACAAAACGAAGACCACTCTCAAACGGAGAACCCTCTCATCGGCTTCAACACGCACGAAATCTCAGCCACTGATGTTTCTAGCGAGTGCTTTGATCTCACTTCATTCGGCTTAGTAGAATCACTCAACCGAAACAATACTCATCATATAACTCCTATAGGTTCCATTTCATTTTCACAAAATCATATATGCTTAATAAAATTATTGTTGCTGTTAATCTCACTAAATCAAATGGATAAATTATTATTATTATTATTATTTTTTTGCATAGATTGGTGCACCAAGGGTTTGGGAACTTCTTGCAGCGGTAGTAACGAAGACATGTATAACAACAAACCACAGCCGAAACTCGAAAACTTTCTCTCGGAGAAACCGGCAACCGGCGGTGGCGGTAGTCCAAAAAGCACCAACTCTATAGGGTTGTCTATGATAAAGACATGGCTGAAGAACCAAGCGTCACAGTCTGATGCTGCGAACACGTCGCTTTCCATGAGCACTACAGTGTCACAGTCAGGCACAGTAGCATTGCCCCTTCTAACAGCGAGCGTGGATGGAGAGAGTAAGCAACAACCTTCGACGACAGCACTTTACAATAACCAAAGCGAAGTTGTTAATCTTAGTACTGTGGCTAGAAAATCCCCTGACACAGTTGGACTTGGACAAAGGACTTCCATATACCGTGGTGTGACAAGGTTTGATTTTCAATTGTTTAGTTTCTAAACATGTTTATGCATAAGCAATTGCTAATATTTCTACTTTAATTAGATGCTGGAAGTGCTTTTTTTTTATTTATCAATTTTGTTGTCATTATTTTGTTTATGTGATATGAAATGACGAGTTTAGGGTTTATTGATTTTGAAGGCATAGATGGACGGGTAGATATGAGGCTCACCTGTGGGATAATAGTTGTAGAAGAGAGGGGCAAACTCGAAAAGGAAAGCAAGGTGCGATTAAATTAATTATTTTCTGCTAAGTTGATATATAAGATAGGTCTTTTTCTCTGGTTTTCTCTATATATTATAGTATTTTTTTTTTTAATTTCTAAAATTTATTAGTCAGTACTAACTTGTGTTTATTTTTCCATGGTCTCTCTTCAATGGGGTATCGCCAATGTCAACATTCATGTTTCTGCAGTTTACCTGGGTAAGTAAACAAGGTTACATTCCGTTTTATTAATTGATTAGTATTGTTCTTTATTGTTTTGATATCCACAAAGATAGACTTATATATTATTTGTTTTTGATATATGGTCAACTTTTTTCATACAAAATAAAATTTATACAGGGAATGGAACATCAAGTAAATGAGAAAATTTGATGTCAACTTCTATTTTCGGTGTTATTAATTTTTATATGAAAGCCTAACATTTGTTTATTTTTGCAGGAGGTTATGATAAAGAAGAAAAGGCAGCTAGAACATATGATTTGGCGGCACTGAAATACTGGGGAACGGCAACAGCAACAAATTTTCCGGTAAATTCCACGTTCTCTCTCTCTCTCCCTCTAAAAGTTTGTTATTTCTAATGCATCATTACCTAAATCCAAATGTTTGGAATTAGACAAAACAAGCAACAATGCTGAATAGGGAAGCCTTCGCATAAAAATAGTCTATTGCAGGGCACGTTGTGTATATGTTGATTACAAAATAGTAGTAAATTGTTAAAAATTTATAATTTGTTAATATTTATTTGCTTGGGGTTTCATGCAATTTAATTCATTAAAATTTTAATTATTGTTGCTTATGGACATTGAAGATCTCAACCTAAAATTCAAGTACCCATTTTAATCTCATTGTATATATGTTTTATATATCCTTGTGCTACCAAAAGGTTTCCTTATTTCATGGGTCGTGTTTGTTCACCAAGAGGCTAGTTTAGATAATTTGTCTTGTAATGCAAACTATGCATGTGATTGCGCTTTTAACATTGGATACGTTGTATCTTCGTTAATTAACAATCATATTAATTTCAGATTAGCCACTATGAAAAAGAACTGGAAGAAATGAAGAACATGACAAGGCAAGAATACGTCGCATCACTGAGAAGGTATTTTACAAATTCTATTACTAGCTAATTAATTTACACATAATAAGCTTAGTAAAGATGGATATGTATGTGTATTAATACATGTATAAACATAAATTATGTTGAGGCAGGAAGAGCAGTGGTTTTTCTCGCGGTGCATCTATTTATCGAGGAGTAACGAGGTACAATTTGACTTACCATTTGTAGTTTATTTAGAGTTTCACTTGTGATCTTAGTAATATGAAGGTAAAAAAATTAAAATAAAATTAGTCCTTCTGTTTATTTCTAAAATAACTACTAAAAATGTTGTATATCTTTGATTTTTTTTATTGCGCTTAATTTTATTTTATGCGATGATGCTTCATTTAGTGTTTTTTGTTTGTCGATCGTTATGCGCATTGTATCTTAGTCTTGTATACAACATTTAAATTATGCACATATATTATATGCACCCGTGTTGTTTTTGGTAAGAGTTACTTATGTGGTAGATTTGGAATTGACATGCGAAGGCTTTAACTAATTAATATTGGTGATAAATAAATATTATAGATTTTCTTTTTATTTTAATGATATGATTCTAGACATCACCAACACGGAAGATGGCAAGCTAGGATTGGAAGAGTGGCAGGCAACAAAGATCTCTACTTGGGAACTTTCAGTAAGTGTGATTAGTTTTCTTGAAGCATGCATATGAGTATTTATTATACTATATTACACTTCTATATGGGCCTTGGTATTTTATTTCAATATCAACTACAGTTTGTATCAAATAAAATTTGCTTGGTTGGGATTAATTATTTTAGTCATACCTAGATTATAATGTTGTAGCAATGAATATTGAAGGTAAAAAGTTCAATTTAATCAAGAATGATCGGTTATCGCGGTAACATATGATTCATGCATTTATAATTAATTTGCACTGCTGCATGCATGCATGTATGTTTCCTGAAGAATTAATGAACCAACAGTGGTATACAATAAAATTAAATTAATTTTGCAGGCACTCAAGAAGAGGCAGCAGAGGCTTATGACATTGCAGCCATCAAATTCCGAGGACTGAAGGCAGTTACAAACTTCGAAATGAACAGATACGACGTTAGGAGCATACTTGAAAGTAGCACTTTGCCAATTGGTGGTTCTGCCAAACGTTTGAAGGATGCTGAACAGGTCAATCTCACCATCATGGATCCTCAAACCCCTCACGTGCATCCTAACACCTATAATTTTGAAGCTTCTCCTCATCCTCTTGCATTCCATCAACCTCAGCCTTATAGCCACTTAAATTACTCTTATGGTCCCAAGTTTTGGTACAAGCAAGAACAACTTTCTGATGTTCCTCAAACATTTCAGGATTTTCATCAACTCCAACTAGGGAATGCACACAGTTTTCTTCAGGCCAGTGTCATAAGCATTGATTCTGCTTCCATTGGCAATAATAATAATCATAATAGCTCTGCAGGATCTAACTCTTTCATTTATGGTGGTGGGGATGGTAACGATGTTCCCATGACCATGGCCACTTCGTTCATAGCAAATGATGTTGTTAATCAAAATAATGGTTTTGCGGATAATGATGGGAAGATGCTTGAATACGAAAATATGTTCAACCCTACTGATCCTTATCATGAAAGGAACTTTGTGTCATCTTTCGCAGCAAACATTTGGTGATGCAGTGAAGTAGGTAGTGCATATGATGCTTGCAATTTGGCTCGTTGCCTCAGAGTTTCAACGTTCTCGTTTGCATGAATAGTTGGGAATTAGAAAGAAGGGTATATTGAAGTTCATGAAATAGTTTTAAGATGATCGATACACATATATTGGCCTGTTTAAATGATTTATGGATCAAAAAAATTAATATATACATTTATTATCTTCCAATATTTGAGTTTTCATGATCGATCTTATTCATTTCTAACGCGTTAGTCCATTTTTCTTATTCTTAGTCTTGCCTTGCTACTGTAGTCTTAGAGCTGATAATCGCCTATGAAGTTTAGGATTAACTGATAATTTGGACACATATATCGTTGGGAAGTTTTATGAACGCTACGCTTAGAATTTTGGAATATGAAGATTCAAATTAAGTATGCAGTTTTCATTTCATAAAATATATAATGAGAATTGATTTTAAAATGTTTGCACATTTTTGAGAAACTAGTATAATGAAAAATATTTTTATTAAAATATTTTTGAAGTATATAATAAAGTTGCTGAAAATGTTATTTTGTTAACAAATGAGAATAACTTTTTTTTTTATAATTATAATTGACTATAAATATTTTTTTATATATAAAAATGTTAAATAATAATCATTAACCAATAATATTTAATTTATTATTGTTCTCAAAACAAAACAATTGTGTTTAAGAATCTCATTATTTAAAATGTGTTTTAACTTTTAATTACAAATGAAACATTTTTAATTCTAATAAGCACTGCTTAAGTAAATATGTAATAATTTATGTGTTCAACACATCTTTAATTTATTTGATTGTAATGAATACTGAATTGTATAATCAATTTTACTATCATTAAGTAAAATAAAAATCATCTTTGATAGAACTTTTGGGATAGTATAAAAATCAAAAAATATATCATAAATAATAATTTGAATCTTGCTAACCATAATAGTCTTAGAACATTAGATAAATTAATAATCAATATAAAAAAAAATTCATTGAAAGCTATAATAAAATTACACAGAAAAATGTGTAGGTATATAACCTTTAATAAAAACTTTTGTTTAAATTCATTTTTTTTCTTTTAATATTTTTATAAGTATAGAATTTTAGTCTTCAAAATTTTTTTATTGCAAATTTAGTTCATCTAATTTTTAAAATTAAAAAATATTAATTTACTCATTAATGTCATAAAAAATTAAACAAAAATTATCAATATACTCATAAATTACATTGTTTAGATTACTTAGTCATATTAACTTTCACATAAAGAATAACATTATTTTTTATTACACATACATTACATTTTTTTTTATTTCAATTGAATTTTATAATCTTTTAAAACAATTTTTAATTTTTTTTAATACTACAAATTTCTTACATGTCTAACTAACTACGTGATTAAATCATTCAAAAACATGTTAGTATTTTTTTAATTTATTTTTGGGGTGACATACTAAGATGGACTTCCATTATTTAATTTTGAAAATTATGATGATTAAATTTGTAATAAAAATTATTGAAGGACGCATTCACAAATCTACGGGACCAAAATTGAGACATTGGCCAACATTTTTTCATATTATGTGATGTAGACTGTGATAATCATACGTGGTATGAGAGCAAGATAAGGATAGAGTTGGAGAGCTGCTGTGGAGGCCATCCAATGACATAGGAGATGAAGGAATTTTTGTTGACTACCGGATGGTGGTAAACTTGTATAGACAATGTAGTTACTTCACCGACAACTTAGGATGTATAGATCATTACATTACTAGATTACTATATTTATATTGCAAATATTTATTTAGTTGATTTTCTATATATGCGCGCAATATAATACATGTTCTAGTATTCGTATATCTATAGTTTTAAGTTAGATATTTTCCATTGCCAGTAGTTGTGTCGTATAATGTAGGGACCAGTCGGGTCATTCCATTAAACATCAAAATATTTAAATTAAATTATATATGTGTATTATATATATATATATATATATATATATATATATATATATAAAGGATGAAACCAATTACTCATTAACAATATTGAAATTACTTATTTAATTTTTTAAAATAAATTATAATATTTTAGAAGAAATGGGTAGGCATGATAGCATGGTGAGGTGGGAGGAGTTTTATGTTTTCCACCCTATCTCTTCTAGGACTACAATTTAGATATTCATTCCGTATCTTCTGGAGTTTGAGTTTTCTGGCCTCCCAATTTTGGTTTATGATAAAGGATGAAAAGAAAAGAAAAAGTAAAAAATTCAAATGGTGGAAAAAAAATTAATTATAAACTCTCATTTTAATCGAAATGTCTCTAAATTTATATTGTATTATATATAAAAGTTATTTTTTAATTATATTACTAGCAGGTTGGGAAACGTAAACAAAAATGAGAATAAGATAATGAAGTGAATTTACAGTTTAGAGTAAGATACAAACAGGTAAAAGTTAGGACAAATTCAAACAAATACTATTTAGAGTATGATACTGTCGAAGTTAGGATGAACTCAAACAAATAAAGACGGGATTCATTTGTGATGCTTATGAATGATAATGAAGTGTGAGAGTAATTAAGATACCCCAATATCGAAACTTGAAAAAACTCGAGTGGAAGTGGGATTGTATGGGAGAAATCAGCGGAGCACCAGTGCCTCCTCGGAAAGAATAACGATTAATTAAGTAATCAATAATCAACATTAGTGACCAATTATCTCCCTCTGCCCACTTATCCATGCACGGGCTCTCCCTTCACAAGGAAAGTGAGCATTCTTAAAGTAAAGTTGCTTTACCAATGTCGCAATCCTTTCTCTACTTTTTCATCCCATGCTTTGTCTCTACATTATTCAAACCAAATTACTACACTCTAAGTAACTTAATAACCAAGTCTTTGTGTTGTTTTCTTTGGTTCCTAATACTCCATCCATTTCAAAATTTCGTGGTTTTTCCTTTAATTTTTAGTTTTGTATTAAAAATTTTAAAAATATAGTTGTTATTAAAACTAATTTAAGTAGTTAAGTGAAATATTGATGTCACTTTTAAATATGTAATTATTTGTAGTCTATATAGAACATTAAAAGTCTCAAAATTTTAAAATATAGAATATTAAACTATTTATATGCAATGTCATATAATTAGTGTGTGTTTAATACAAATTTGAGATCACATTTAAAAAAAAAATACACATTTTAATGTAGGAAAAGTAAAAATTTGTGAGTGTAGTGTTTTTTTAACCATAGTTGAATTGAACTCAAATGATTTCCAAATACACTCATACCTGTGAAAAAAATATTTGGATTTAAAATTTTTATTGACTTTGACCTGTCTTTGTGACACTTTATTATTATTATTATTACTTATTCATCTTAAATCTTTAATTTTTAAAGATTAATATACATTAATTGAACAAGTGTTAATAAATATAAATTTAGATTAAATAAATCTTATTTAATATCTAATTTTTGTAAAAATGAATAAATAATTAGTTGATAGATAAAACTAAAACCATAAATAAATCGAGATTGACTCACAAACTTGATCAATTCAATTCAACTAAATTGCGTTTTAGTGGCTTAGATTATGTTATTGGGTTGGACATATTCTGATTGAACTAATTATAATTGTATAAAGTAATGAATTAATATGAGTATATAATCCAACCTAACCTAACTTAAATATAATATTATTTTATGAAATATATATACACGCAGTATCAACAACAACAAAAGCAAAAGAAGATTCTTTCAAAAATTTGGCACATTAAATGACAACTTATATATAATCCTAAATGTCTGCACGGATTTAGGTATGTTAGGCAAGTAACTAAAGGACTAAATATGTCCAAGTTGACAAAATGAAGCCCGAATCCGCAGATAAAAATAAACCAACTATTAAGAGTTTAAGATGAAAAGTGCGAATACACAACCAATATGTATGATCTAAATATGCCATAAATCCATCAATTTAATTGCTATCAATTGAATCTAAATAAATAAATAAAACTTTATATGGCATGATTGAATCACTTGTACTTTGATGCATTTTAGCATACAAACAGTTACACGTAAGGTAAATAGAGTCGTTTTCCGACAACTTAAAAGAGGCTCATTGATCAATTTGGGGTAATTTATAAAATTATTTATGTAAATGGGGTTGTTTTTAAACTATTTACAATTTTGGGACAGTTTACTACAGTGTCATTATGGCCCATAGCGACACCAGTACTACATGTAATTTTTTATTTTAATCGCAAACGACTTAAATTTAGCCAATAGAAATCGCTACAGGCTGTAGCGATTTTTGTAAAGTCACTATGGGCTTCATCTCCATTTTAAAAATATGATAAATATATATTTTATTATTAAAAATATATATTATTTAAAGGTGTTAGGACTCATAGCCACACAATGTCGCTATGGGCCATAGCGACCTTGTTTAGTATTTTATTTTTTATTTTTCACATTTTTTTTATAAATTAAATTAAAAAAATTTATTTGCGCTGTTATTTTTTTATTTTAATTAAATATGGTAAATTAAAGATTAAATTATTTATTTTTGTACTTTTAACTAATTTTTTTATAAAATTTTTCAAATTTTTTATATATTAATTTAAAAGAAAAACTGACCAAAAAAGAAGTTAAAAAAAAAGAATGTCGCTATGGGTCATAGCGACTTGGTGTCGCTATGGGCCCTAGCGACATAATTTTCATTTAATTTAAAATTTTAAGTTTTTCACAATTATTTTATAATTTATTTTTAATAATATATTTTATAGTTTTAATATTTTTTTGTTTTCCAGATTTATTTTAATTAATTAAAATAAAGAAATATAAAAAAAACACACAATATTTTAATTAATTATATTTTTGTTTTTCATAATGACGTTGTTTTTTTTTAATTTTTAATTTTTAATATTTAAATTATCATTTTTTTAATAATATTTATTTATTTTACTTCTTTTATTATTTCCGTTATTTATACAAAGTTTTCCTTCACATAATTTTTTATTTTATATATTTTTTTAATGCACAACAGAGGTGCTATGACCCATAACGACAATGTGACGCTATGGCCCATAGTGACCTCATTTTTTTAATTTTTTTTCAACAATTATTTTATCAATTTTATTAAATATTTTTTCTTTATCCTTCTTTTTTTCTCTCGTTTTTTTACACTTTTTTTCGTTCACTTATTTTTATCTTTTATATTTATCCTGTCGTTTACTTATCATCATCTATTTTCTTCCACATTTATTTTATCAGTTTTCAAAAAAGGTTTTTAATAAAATTAAATTAAATTGTGTCGCTATAAGTTATAGCGACTTTATTTGAAGTCGTTTGTGTCGCTATAAGCTATTACGACTTTATTTGAAGCGCTATCGGTTACAGCGACTTTAGTAATATAACGTTCATGACTTGTAAAAAAAAAAAATTACAAGTGTTACTGGTGTCACTACGACACTCTTATAAATAACCCTAAAAGTGTAAATAATTTCACAACAGCCCAAATTACGTAAAATATTTTAAAAACGACCCTGCAATCAACCCTTAAAAGAAGAAAAAAGCATATAATATACTTTTAGTAAAAAAAATGTTATCATTATCTGGCCATATAACAACGTGAACCGAAAAATGATAAGTGTTTTTCAATCATCTTGGCACATAACTTTTCGGTTTTCATGTTGGCATAAAATAAGCTTCCCTCTCCTCTAAAAGCCGAAAAAGATAAGAAAACGATGGATAGTTCGTGACACACTTAAATATAAAAAAAATAATATTTTTGTTACTTTTCATAAACGGTTCATATAATTTTGAAAACAAATGAAGTGGCATGAAAGAAACATGTCAACTCAAAACAAGTCCATGCCTTAAGAGAGGAGAAAAACGACGCGTCGTTTTGCGTTGAAATAGCGAAGTACTAATTCCCTCTAGTTACTGTTAGTCTGTTTTGGTCGTTCTTTGGTTCGTTTCCGCACTCTCTCCATTGCCGTAATAACCTTTTTTTATACACGGGTTGAACACGGCAACGCCAATGAACCTTTATCCAAAAATGAAATTCGACACCGCTGTTGAATCGAATCGACTTTGAGTTGCGCTGGATCTGTTTCCCTCTCAATTTTTCTTGTATAATTATTATCATTACGTTTATTCTTTCTTTCACTTCAATTAATGGATCCAAGAGGTTTAGCGATGCTGGTGGCGATTCTAGTTGCGGAAATTGGTTTGGTCGCGAACGGGAATTTAGTGTTCCCGGTGGAGCGTCGGAGAAGGAGTTTAAGCGCTATCAGAGCTCACGATGCTCGCCGCCGAGGTAGAATTCTCTCCGCCGTGGATCTCAACCTCGGCGGCAATGGTATCCCTACTGAAACAGGGTTCGTGTTTTTTGCTTTTTTGTAAATTAATTATTATTATTATTATTTTGAAATATGAATTATGATTACGAAGGAGTAAACAATGATTATCTTTGTTGTTATGTTGTTGTTTATTTGGTATAGTTTGTATTTTACGAAACTCGGGCTTGGCTCTCCTCCGAAGGATTATTATGTGCAAGTTGATACAGGGAGTGACATTCTATGGGTGAATTGTGTTGAGTGCTCGAAATGTCCCAGGAAAAGTGATCTTGGTGTATGTATATTGTTTTATTATTATAATTATAATACTTCGCATGTTCAATTTGACTTCTGAATCATTGACTTGAAACCTTGTTGAATTTGCCTATTTTGGATGTTATTGTAACAGATAGAGTTGACTCTCTATGACCCGAAGGGCTCCGAAACTTCAGACTTGATTTCTTGTGACCAAGATTTTTGCTCTGCCACGTATGATGGTCCGATTCCTGGTTGCAAGTCTGAAATTCCGTGCCCCTACAGCATAACTTATGGAGATGGAAGTGCAACTACTGGATACTATGTAAAGGATTATCTTACTTATAACCGTGTCAATGGCAATCTTCGTACTGCAACACAAAATAGCAGCATCATTTTTGGGTGAGAATCTGAAAATGATTACTATTACTAATGATTTACAGTTCGCACATCATTTATTGTTGACTTGTTGTGATAGTTTTAGGACGATCATGTCTGATGTTAATGTTGTTGAATTGGAGTAGTATTCTTTTGAGTCAACTATTTTTGGTTATGAGAATGCTTTCCATTCAAGTGGGAATTTTCAGTGTGTTATTTTTATTTGGAAATATTTAGGTTCCCAGGTTGATAAAGAGTTAAAGAAACATGTTAATATTTCAACTTTTTCCCTGTTAATATGTCTCTGGTTATTCTCCTGCTGACAGGTGCGGTGCAGTACAATCTGGCACATTGGCTTCATCTAGTGAAGAAGCCCTTGATGGAATAATTGGTTTTGGACAAGCAAATTCTTCGGTGCTTTCACAGCTTGCTGCATCTGGAAAGGTGAAAAAAATATTTTCACACTGCCTTGACAATATTCGTGGTGGTGGAATATTTGCCATAGGGGAAGTGGTGGAACCAAAAGTCAGCACAACTCCATTGGTACCAAAAATGTATGTGCTGTAACTCAGTCATTCATTCCCATAGTGTGATATTGGTGATCATATAAATCCAAGGGTAAATTTGGTTGTCATGCAATACTGAAACTAATAGTAAAGAAATATCTTTTATATTATCTCATATCATGTTCACTAGATTTTTAGTTGGATGGATTGTTCTGCAATTGAAGTAGGGAACAGTACTTAAAGATAGAAAATTAACTAGTGTACTGGATCTGCATGGTTTATTTTCTCCATTTGGACAAGTGTATTACATTCAAACATTTAACGTAAAATAATTATTTTACTACTCAAGATTCAGAAAATGAAGTAACAAAGATATTATTTTAAAGACAATTTTGTAAAAGCTTGATATAAGAGGGGAATAGTTTTTCATTTGTATATTACCAATTTACCATCATATTTATTGCTTTATGTCAATGTCATTTGTGCAGGTGTGTTGAGCTAGACCTTTTCAATTTTCTTCTCTTTTTTGCCACTTTTTGGATCTTGTTTGGGATTATTTTAATTTAAATATTGTAAAAATAAAAATAAATTTGGCATGTATGAAATTCCATCCTTGTCTCTCTACCTAGTAGTTATATGTATGATTGATTAGGTCACATAATGAAGGTGTCCTTTCTGTTTTTGTTGCCTAAAGGCTGGCTTCAGTTTTTAAATTCATAGGCTTAGGGTGGAAATAGGCTAGGACAAAGAATGCTCTGTTTAAATAGGTTTGACCTACTTAAAAATTCCAAGGCATAAGTTTGGTCTGTTATCTATCATTAACTTTTTTTTTTTTTATTTAAAGTTTTACTTGGCTTGTTAGCCTGTATGATGTAACCCTAAATAAGACAATCAACTAATCGTCTATGAAAAAAAAAACTATGTAAAACAAACTATAAACTATGAAAATTAAAACTACTACTTCTCAAGGCTTGAGTCAGGTAGAAATAGGTTGGCTAGACATTATAAGGGTCAAGTCTATCTTGTTTATATGATATAAACTTATTTTTAATGTCTAGTATGACTTTTACGATAAGCTATTTAAAAGTCTATTTTACAATCAGGTCTCTAAATATGACATAAATTTATCCTTCAATAAGTTTATAGGCTTGACTCTTTATGTATGTTAACATGCTTAATATTTCTGAAGGTAAATAAATACAATTTTAATACATTATAAAAATTTAATATAATAATTATACTAACAAAAATTAATATTTTGTTCACTTAAATAGTTCATCATATAGGCCTAAAATGTTTTTTAATTGGCTTAAAATCTGACCTTTTTAACTTATAAAAGTCTTGGCCTTATTTTTATTTTTTTGTAAAAAAGCTTGGTCTAGCCTGATGGAGGCTGGGTCATAGACTCCTGTTGAACGACTAGACGTCTAGACCTCTTTCTGTTCATATTTGAGGTCTCTGGTTTAAGTTGTGAAATTTTTTTATGAAATATTTTTTCTGATACTTGCAAAGTTATAATGTATTTGATATTCAGATCTTGAGTTTGACAATAATGCCATAACTGTTATCTTTTGACTATTACAGGGCACACTACAATGTGGTTTTGAAAAATATTGAGGTTGATACAGATATTCTACAGCTTCCCTCAGATGTATTTGATTCTGGAAATGTGAAGGGGACAGTAATAGATAGTGGAACAACCTTGGCTTATCTTCCTGACATAGTTTATGACCAACTGATTCCAAAGGTAAGTGTATGTATAAAGATTAACTGAATCATTATTTCCACTTGAGTATTCATGAATGTTCTTTATGATAGGTTTTGGCCGGGCAGCCTGGACTGAAATTATATACTGTTGAGCCACAATTTAGTTGTTTTCAGTATACTGGAAAGTATGACGCTTATCTTTGTGACATTCTTCATTGAAATTTTACATTTCTCTGTTATATTGGTATAAGTATCTATCACTCTTCGGTAATATTTGGTAATGCAATATTCTGACTCCTGGGGGGGGGGGGG